CCTTTGTGTGATGTCATTGAAAGGTCATGTCTGCTGACATTTCACTGCCGTTTCTGCATATGGTCGATGCTGACGCATGAGCCGAAGAAAACTGAGGCACTTCTGTCTGTAGATTATATGCATATTTCTGAAACATCGACGCCATAAATTGATCTGAGATCTGCGCCATCTTTGACATGCCTGATGTACATGTCAGACACCTGGTTCTCACTATAGGGCATCCCCCTGCTCCCCTTCTGTGCTCACGGGGAGGCATATAAATATACCATATGTAAGAAGTGAGGCGGCACGTCTATTTCTGTATCTCCGTACGTGAAGGTTGGCTACTGTAGCGACTATCTACCAGGGTATCAGACTCGCGAGGAGATAACTCCATGAGTGGAGGTAATTCACTAAGTGGAGATAATACGCTAGAAGCCCTGGTCCCTGCACACCATATAATTCACTTGCGTTTAATGTAGTATTCATGTCCCTGCCTCTGTTGTTCTGTTGTAATCATTTTTGCTGTGACATGTTGAATCGTTGGTTGCTGGAGAGAAGACATGAGGGAATTTTACCTAAACGTTGCAGAATTCTAATGTCGCTTGACATTTGTAGCTTAGTTCTGTAACTCCGACGGACATGGTTCGAAGCCAGCAGCTAACCATTTGGTTGATTTGGACAACAGTACGAGTACCGTTCACAAAGAACAGTGACATACTCCTCCTCTTCATTTTTTCATTATTGTCCACTTAATTGCCTACTGTTCGCTCCCTGGCGGAGCCGGACTTTTTTCATAAATGACTTTGGCTTCCAGGTCGACCCAGCCTTGAGTGGGTACCGGGTGCAGTCCCGTGAAGTAGAGGCGGCCGGCGAGATGCTGACCACATCACCCATCTTGTGCCGATTGGTCTATAAAATATAGGTCTATCCCTATATGCCCTATACGCCTAAAGGCGTGGAAAAGGGTCCTAAAGAAAAAAATTGCCTACTTCCCATTCATGATTGGGTCTAACCAGAGCTTTGTTTTCATGGAAAAAAAAAAGGGGGGGGGGGGGGGGGGTGTTAAAGTGTTTGAAAAAAAAAGGCGCTGCTACTTATAACTAAATGTCTGTTACAATATTAGTAAAAATTTAACGCCTGAAAGAAAGGTGGCGCTACTGAATACCGCTGAAACAACAACAGCCATAGGTCTAACACCCGCTACTGTCCATGTGTAGGCTAGTACTTTTTAGGGTTGTGTCGATCAGCTACAGTAGTACAGACACAAACAAAACCTGATTGGGACGGGGGGGGGGAGGGGGGGGGGCTTAAAATATATGTTGTGGGGGGAGGGGTGCTCATAGGGGCCTTAAACTTCCAGGTTCCGACACCTATGAACAGGGAGGTCTTGAGTCTGAGGATTAGACCTACAGAAATAATCGACATTTTGTTCTGTTGTCCTGCCACAAATGTCGAGAATTCAATCTTATCAGTAAACAGGTTGTATACTGGAACTTTCCTACGTGACTTTGACCTACCCCCCAACAATGAGGTCAAAAGGAAGATCAATGGTGGAAAGGGGACAGGGGAGAAAGCTTTGCGTCTGTCTTAGGAAGGAAGGAAGGAAATATGTGCAGGTTATTTATTTCCCTCCAGGGGGTCTCATTACGTGATCAGATTATTCTGCAGCATTCGTTAAAAATGGAAATGGCGAGAGCTGTCGACGGTTATAGTCTTGGGCTGTTGATGTACTCAACATTGGCTTTGAATTTTACATACGTTTTTTTTTCTAAAGGTAATCACTATCACATGTTAGAACAGTCTTTACAAACCTCGACACTTTACTGCTGGGACATCTGAGCTTAAAATTAAAAGGACATTGACAAAAGTCAGAGCTGGGAGATGATCTCTACGAATGTCAGAGATAATGCCGAGACACTCAGTTCTGTGGGTGTCTGAGAATGTGCGGGCTATAAGAAGATCCACAGGACGGTTAGAGGTCCTCCCTGAAGGCCGGAGCAATAAAAGGAGCTCCAGGCAGGGCTGGCAGTTCTTTGAGAGGACTACTGTGTACCAGCTCCAGAGGAGGACATACTGTCATCACCATGAGGGGACATAACTGTCATTACCATGAGGGGACATACTGTCATTACCATGAGGGGACATAACTGTCATCACCATTAGAGGACATACTGTCATCACCATGAGAGGACATACTGTCATCACCATGAGAGGACATACTGTCATCACCATGAGAGGACATACTGTCATCACCATGAGAGGACATACTGTCATCACCATGAGAGGACATACTGTCATCACCATGAGGGGACATAACTGTCATCACTATGAGAGATGAGAGGACATACTGTCATCACCATGATAGGATATACTGTCATCACCACCATGATAGGATATACTGTCATCACCACCATGAGAGGACATACTGTCACCACCACAAGAGAACACACTGTCATCACCACCATGAGAAGACATACTGTCACCACCACAAAAGGACACACTGTCATCACCATGAGGGGACATACTTTACCATTAGAGGAAATAACTGTCATCACCATGAGAGGACATACTGTCATCACCATGAGAGGACATACTGTCATCACCATGATAGGACATACTGTCTTCACCATGAGAGGATACTGTCATCGCCATGAGAGGGCATACTGTCACCACCACAAGAGGACACACTGTCATCACCATGAGAGGGCATATTGTCATCACCATTAGAGGGCATACTGTCACCACCACAAGAGGACACACTGTCATCACCATGAGAGGGCATATTGTCATCACCATTAGAGGGCATACTGTCACCACCACAAGAGGACACACTGTCATCACCATGAGAGGGCATACGGTCATCAGCATGAGAGGACATAACTGTCATCAGCATGAGATGACATAACTGTCATCAGCATGAGAGGGCATACTGTCATTAGCATGAGAGGACATAACTGTCATCAGCATGAGAGGGCATACTATTATCACCATGAGATGGCATACTGTCATCACCATGAGAGGACATAACTGTCATTATAATGAGATGACAGTCATCACTGTAAGAGGGCATAACTGTCATTACCATGAGAGGACATACTATCTGCACCATGGTAGGACCTCTAAGAATGTAAGCTGTATAGTAGGACCTCCAAGATTAAAAGACCTCTAAGAATGTAAGCTGTAAAGTAGGACCTCCAAGATTAAAGGACCTCTAAAAAATTGGAGATGATTATAGGGCCTTTAATAACCTGTGATAGCAGGTTAGAATAGCAGCCTGTGATACACACACACATGCGCGTGCGCGCACTCACACACACACACACACACACACACACACAGATATATATATATTTTTTTCTTTTTCTTTTTCTTTTTCAAAACAGAATATGATAAATCCTTCAACTATCTCTTCTGCATCATAATGTTTGCTGTAGTTGTCTTGTCTAGGTTTCAGCAGGTTTCAACCGCGGATCAACATCATGGCACAAGGGTAGTAACCCTTAAGTGCTCCGCTCTACTTCTAACTCAAGTCTGTGTCTGAACAATCTCAGCACAGTGCATGAACTCTATAGCACCAGCGAGGATTCTGAAATACTTTGGGTAGATTTTTAACTTCAAATTTTGCCCGGGCAGTGCTGTTAGGCTACTTTTTTTTCAATGTCCAACTGCCAAGGGATTTTTTACGTGCGCAAAAATACACAGGGGCATCTGATCTTTATACCCAGAGACTAGGGGGAAACTACTAGAAGACCACATGAAATAATCCCAGTTTTTACCGGGGCCTGCCCCTGGGACCTTCAGCACTTGAGGCGGACAGCATGCCTTCAGATCATGCAGCCTAAGTGTCTTGTCCGTAATGTATCAGTTATATAAACCGTACCAGTGATATAAACCTCTTCTCCAAATAACAATTGCCTCTATTCCAGTGTGCACATCTCCCTTCTGTAGCACTCTTTGCCACGGCAAAACAGATATCTAGTACATACAAGGAGGTTTGTAGCAGGAGGTCTGTGTTGTATCTGTTCTAAGCCAAGAACATATATAATCACCAGCTGTGACTCACTCACTCAGTATGTGATGGATGGGGACAAAACCATAGCCAGAATTTATCTGCATTAGAACCCACATGAGCATAGAAATAAAGACAGACCAAAACAACACATGGAGAAGGGAGTTAGAGAGTGACGTTAAAAAGATAGAGAGGACTCGGGATGAGCTGTATGCGACAGCCAAAGATAGGATGACTTGGCATCTTCTGGTTAAACCTGTGTTCTATTGGGGGATGAAGGGCAGAAGAAAAAGACAAAGAACCCTGAGTTAATCTAATTATCAAAAATGACGTCACTTTTGATTACACTGTGATAAATTTTAGCCAGGCTGCCCTAAATCCTCAGGCTGAAAGTCCCCCTGTCTACACCGCCCTAAAACAGTGGTAAAACACACAGTAGTGACAGTCCATAAAAAATGTATGATTGGGTTTTAAAAAAAGGCTGACTCAAAAACTACAACACAGACCAGTTAACAGATTGTCTGTGCCCAATTTTTCTTTACACTGTCTCTGTCCATTCATAATTTGGCCAGTCCCTTCCCTCCTTCCTTTTTCTTTAAAGTAGAAACCTGTGCATTTCCTAAGTTTCAGAATTGGGTATCCCCATATCATACACTATCCCATGTTGTTGGCATATTGTAAAAGAGAACTTTCACAGTCCCTATTAGTGTTAAATTATTAACTGTTGTAAAACAACAACAAAAACACATTGTTATTCAATTGCTTATTTTTTAATAATTGGCACAAAAGACATATCCTTAAAAAATGTTAAGGACCCAGATGCAAGAGAACTGTCAACTACTTTTTTTTTTTAGCTCAAAGATATTCTTATGGGCAATTTAAAAGTTTCACTTATTTAATTACACAGATTTTGAATGTCGGAATAATGACAAAATTATGTTCTTTTCAGTAGCTACTCTTTTCTTTTTTGTGGAGGATATTTCATGGGTCGATCCTTTTCTTTCCCTAGGCTGACAAGGATAACAGAGTTCTACACATCACTGACACAGGTATTGGCATGACAAAGGATGACCTGATAAAACATCTGGGTACTATTGCTAAATCTGGAACCAGCGACTTCCTGTCTAGAATTGGTGAAGCTAACACCTTGACAGAGACTAGTGATCTCATTGGGCAGTTTGGTGTCGGCTTTTACTCTGCATTCCTGGGTAAGTCTAATCATTAAACTCATTGAGTTCTCATCTTTGAACTAGCTCCTTCTCATCATTGAACTCGCTCAGTTTTCATCATTGAACTAGTTCAGTTTTCATCGTTGAACCCTTTCAGTTCTCATAATTGAACTAATTCAGTTTTCATCATTGGACTAGCTCAGTTCTTATCATTGAACTAGTTCCTTCTCATGTGTTGTGTTTGTTGGTATCTGTTCTTCCAGAGATGGGATTTTGTCATATATTTATTCTTGGGGAAGATAGTTTTATGTTTTCTGATTGAAAGCCTTCTTTGAACTGTGACTACTCTGTGTTTTTAACTATGGTTACTGTGGTTCTTTGAATTATAAGTACCAAGTTGATTCATATACAGGTGGGTCCTGTGAACTATGTGTGCTGGCTCTTTTGATATATGGGGTCCTCTGAACTTTGAGTACTGGGTCCTTTGAATTATGGGCACTAGGTCCTTTGAACTTTGAGTACTGGGTCTTTCTAACTTTGGGCACTAGGTACTTTGAACTTTGAGTACTGGGCCCTTTTAATTGTGAGTAGTAGGTCCTTCTAACTATAAGCACTAGGTCCTTTGAACTTTGAGTACTGGGTCCTTTTAGCTGTGTGCACTAAGTCCTCTAAACTACATTGTGTGCATTCTTATGTGTTGTCCACCCTTTTTCACATGAATTCCAGTTTATTATTTCCAGTAATTAGCATTTTCCAATTGACTTTGATAAATGATCTAGTGAGAGCAGTTGACACTGTTTCAGCATTTCTGTCTTCTCTGTCCATGTTGTTCTCAACTTTTATAAAAGCCATGCTTCCATTTCCTCAAGTTTCTTCACTGGTTAGTTAAACATTGTCCAACATTTCACCATAATAACGGTCCATGCCAGTAAGCATCAGTGTGCCATGCCAGTAAGCATCAGTGTGCCATTCCAGTAAGCATCAGTGTGCCATGCCAGTAAGCATCAGTGTGCTATGTCAGTAAGCATCAGTGTGCCATGCCAATAGGCATCTGTGTGTCGTGCCAGTAAGCATCAGGGTGCTATGCCAGTAAGCATCAGTGTGCTATGTCAGTAAGCATCAGTGTGCCATGCCAGTAAGCATCAGTGTGCCATGCCAGTAAGCATCAGTGTGCCATGCCAGTAAGCATCAGTGTGCTATGTCAGTAACCATCAGTGTGCCATGCCAATAGGCATCTGTGTGCCGTGCCAGTAAGCATCAGTGTGCTATGCCAGTAAGCATCAGTGTGCTATGTCAGTAAGCATCAGTGTGCTATGCCAGTAAGCATCAGTGTGCTATGCCAGTAAGCATCAGTGTGCTATGCCAGTAACCATCAGTGTGCTATGCCAGTAAGCATCAGTGTGCCATGGATTTGTTTGCACAACCAGGACTTTCTGCCAGAGACACATTCCCGTGAGTGTGAAGAAAAAGAAGAAGAAGGTCATGGTTGGCCATCTGACACAGTCACTAGAATCTAGGGCTGTACCGAATATTCACTTCGTATTCGCTTCGGGGCACCCCTGTCATACGCACCCAGTTTTAGAACCTCTGCTGTAATGCCTCGGAGTCAGGCGCTGTTACCACGCAAACGGGTCGCCGTTTTCCCCGCTACGGAAGATTTAGGCATCGCTACTGTTGTGTTAAAGAAGGCATGAAGAAACTTGAAAGTGTGTCTGTGTGTGTGTTTGTGTGTGTGTGTGTGTGAGAGAGAGAGAGAGAGAGAGAGAGAGAGAGAGAGAGAGAGAGAGAGAGAGAGAGAGAGAGAGAGAGAGAGAGAGAGAGAGAGAGAGAGAGAGAGAAAGCATGCATTTTTTTGTTCTTTTGGGGTGTCTTTTCCCAAATCAAATTGAAGATATTGCAAATGAGAATATGAAGGTGCATTTAAATTACATTGAATGAACGCCTGAACGAAAAATGATTTAAATGCGAATTTGGCACATGGATAAAATCAGATGAAAGATGCATTACTAAAATAAAAAACAAAAAAGGACAGGCTAAAAATGCATTTTATATATAAAAAAAAAGAACATCTTGTGCAATATATTGTTGTCTTGCTTGCTACATACATCCAGTTTTAACATATGGCTATGAGTCCTGGACAATCGGTAGCCAGGCCAAACAATATTTTGAGGCCTCAGAGATGTGGTTTTACAGAACAATGCTTAAAATACCTTGGACAGCTTAAAAAAAGCAACCACTAGGTTTTGAAAGAGGCGGGAGCCCGAAGACAACTAATCGCAGACATCAGAAGAAGACAGTCATCATATAGAAAGAGTGAAAATGGAACATGTTGTGACCACTGGAAAGATTTGTGGAAGGAGAGACAGAAAAAGACAACGAGAGAAGATTCTTGACAGTCGTTGCATGTCATGGAGGTGTGTCAGCACACAAACTGATACATGCTGCAGGAGATCGCAGATTGTGGCGAGGCAAAATCGCCACACCAGTCGGCGAGGCACCTGATGATGATGATACACTATTCGTATTCGGCCGAATAGTTGGTCCCACTATTCGTATTCGGCCGAATAGTGAAAACCACTATTCGGTACAGCCCTACTAGAATCACAGAAATATAATTCCAGAATCAGTTATACATATATAGTAGCACATCTTGCTGTAGTCTGCATTTTTCACTAACATATACTAACATATACTACAATGTTGCAGTTGCTGACCGAGTGATTGTGACTTCTAAACACAACGATGATGACCAGTACGTGTGGGAGTCTGATGCTGAGAGCTTCAGTGTGGTCAAAGATCCACGTGGGAACACACTGGGACGTGGTACAACTGTGAGGTAGAGATCTGTGTTAGTTGTTTTTCCTTTACCATTTAGGTGCAGCATTAGTCTTGTAGTCTTGTTTTATTTTGACGCAACTGCAGGCATATGTGAACAATTTGAACTAGGTTTCCAAGTCGAGCTATTCTAAAAAATAAAAATAAAAATAAAATATATTTTAAGAAGTGTTTGTGGAAATAAAGTCAGCTTACATGATATTGATTATGACATCCGTTGAGTGCTAGCAAGTGTTTAAATATATGAGGCTTGCACTGTATACCCAGTTTTCCTGAAGGCGTGGGAAAGGGTCTTCCTGGCTATTACCTACACACACTTGGGATTATCATAGCAGACCATATCATTTGTCTCACATAGGACTGAACCTTAGACATCTGTGGTGGCATAAGGTGGGTTTACCTTAGCAGACCATATCATTTGTCTCACATAGGACTGAACCTTAGACATCTGTGGTGGCATAAGGTGGGTTTACCTTAGCAGACCATATCATTTGTCTCACATAGGACTGAACCTTAGACATCTGTGGTGGCATAAGGTGGGTTTACCTTAGCAGACCATATCATTTGTCTCACATAGGACTGAACCTTAGACTGTGGTGGCATAAGGTGGGTTTACCTTAGCAGACCATATCATTTATTTGTCTAAAAAAAAACTATAATTTGTCTCACATAGGACTGAACCTTAGACATCTGTGGTGGCATAAGGTGGGTTTACCTTAGCAGACCATATCATTTATTTATCTAGAAGACCATATCATTTGTCTCACAGGGGACCGATCCGCTCACATCTGTGGTAGCACTAGGTGGGTTTACCCTAGCAGACCATATCATTTATTTATCTAGAAGACCGTATAATTTGTGTCACAGGGGATTTTTTATCATGGTGTGTGGCTTTGCAGGTCAACCCAGCCTAAAATGGGTACCAGAATGTATGTCCTGGAGACGTAAAAACGGCAGGTGTAATGCTATCCACATTACTCACCTAGTGCGGACTAGTCTGTAAAAATATGGGTGCTTTTCCCATATGGCTGATGCACCTAAAGGTGTGAAAAGGGACCTTCACTTTACTTTTACTTACTGCTGGAGATTAGAGGTTGTAGAGAGGAATGAATCTCATACCTGCTAGGTATCGCAGGTTAATAGATAATCGATTTTCCGAGCTAGGGCACGCCAATTTTTCCTGTATGCTGTGTGTTGTAGAATCTCAGGGAATTAGTGACTCCCTCAGTCCATCTTCTTCCTGTTCATCCCCTACATCTTGATGTTTCTGCTGTCTTGTTGAATGTTCTCATTTCTGGTATCATTGGATTCATTCTCATTAAATGGCTTAACCATTTCAGTCTTTCTTTTTTATTTTTGAACATAATTATAGGTGTTGATCCAGTAGTTCTTGAGATTTTTTTTCGTTCTCACAAGTTATTATTCCAGATACTGTTGCCATTTATTCGTTGAACATTTATTATCTGCTGTCCACAGCTTACATTTGAAAGAGGAGGCACAGGATTATCTGGAGGAGCACACCCTGAGGAACTTGGTCAAGAAATATAGCCAGTTTATCAATTTCAGCATATATCTCTGGAACAGTCAGGTAGGTACATGTTCTTAGCACTCTAGTGGGGACCCCACGTGGGATCCAGGGCCCTGGTGTAGGGAAGACAAGAACAGACCCACTGCCTCCCCAGCAAGTTTGTTTTAAGAGTCGACTAACTGGGAGCTTCCTGGGAAATTGGAGTGCATCTGCCTGGGAGGCAAGGAACCAACAGTCTGCAAACAGACAAATCTCAGATCTGTAAAACGGATACCACACAAAATTCTTGTTCTGGAACAGGGCAATAATCCAAAGTGGAAGAATAACCAGAACTTTCTGTCTGAATTTACATCTAGTGAATGCAAAGAAAAAGAAGTGGAAGAAGAAGAAGAAACACCTTGGCAGCAGATATTGTTTTGCCTTTTTTGTTGTTGTTTTGTTTGTTTGTTTATTTGTTGTTGTTGTTGTTGTTATTATTGTTCTTGGGATTTGGATGTTTCTATAAGTTGAAGTTTGAAGTTGGCTATTTCCACATTCTGCTCACAATTTATTTGACGCCTTACATACCTGCACCCTTCGTAATAGGTGACTAATTAGGCATTTGCAGAAAGTGTATGTTTTGACTCAAAAGGTGCAGATATCACAGCCTAGCTGTAAACCATAACACATTGTGCCAGCTACCCTATCAAGGGCAGAAGAAGAAGATTTGTTGAAGTGTATATACATTTTTTAAATGCAGAATCTGAATATTTCTTTTCAAAATTTTGTTAACAATTTGTCAAAGTTTCTGAAACCACAGTCACACAAATTTAAGCCATTCATTCTGTGACACAGCAACTAGAAGTTGAGGAACCCATCGATGAAGAAGAACAGAAGGCTGAAACAAAGACAGATGAATCAGCAGCTGAAGATAATGAGGATGGGACAGTTGAAGAAGAGGAAGAAAGTAACAAGCCAAAGACAAAGAAAGTCAGGAAGACTGTGTGGGACTGGGAGCTCATGAACAGTGTGAAGCCCATTTGGACACGCAAGTGAGTTGAAACATGTGTAGTCTCTTATGAGTCTCTTGTGAGTCATGTCTCTTGTGAGTCTCTTGTGAGTGTCTTGTGAGTCGCGTCTCTTGTGAGTCACGACTCTTGTGAGTCACTTCTCTTGTGAGTCACGTCTCTTATGAGTCACGACTCTTGTGAGACACGTCTCTTGTGAGTCACGTCTCTTGTGTCACATCTCTTGTGAGTTACATCTCTTGTGAGTCTCTTGTGAGTGAGTCTCTCTCTTGTGTGTGTCTTGTGAGTCTCTTGTGGGTCTCTTGCGAGTCTCTTGTGGGTCTCTTGCGAGTCTCTTGTGGGTCTCTTGCGATTCTCTTGTGAGTCTTTTGTGCGTGTCTTGGGAGTCGCGTCTCTTGTGAGTCACGTCTCTTGTGAGTCACGTCTTTTGTGAGTCACATCTCTTGTGAGTCACGTCTCTTGTGAGCGAGTCTCTCTCTTGTGTCTTACGAGTCTTTTATGAGTCTTTTGTGAGTCTCTTGTTAGTCGCATCTCTTGTGAGTCACATCTCTTGTGAGTTGCATCTCTAGTGAGTGAGTCTCTCTCTTATGAGTGTCTTGTAAGTGTCTTGTGAGTCTCTTGCGGGTCTCTTGCAGGTCTCTTATGAGTCTCCTGTGGGTGAGTTTCTCTCTTGTGAGTGTCTTGTGAGTCACTTGTGAGTCTCTTGCCATTGTTATGTGACCATCTTCTCAAATTGTATTACTTCTATTTTTTTTGCGAATAATTTCACATTTTGTATCACCAGCTGAAATTCTAGCAGAAAGTTCTTGTTGTTCATCAGCTTCTGGACTTTATTTTTGATCCAGAACTTGAGTTTTATATGCACATCAGTTTTGCAGTTCTGGCTTACACTTATCTTTTTGTGATAGGACTTCTTCTTAAAGTCTCTGCAGTTGGCATTGGTTGTCATGCCATTGCACAACCTTCCATCTCGTGCACTTTTAGACAGCTCTGATACAGGTGATCTTCCATGCCATGATGTCAAACTGTCCAGTATATTTTCTCTTAGTCTCCCTCCGCCTCTTTCCCCTCCAGCTTTTCTACTGTCACAATGTACTCCAGTCTTGTCCTTCTCGTGACGTGACCAGAGAATGTCGATTGTCTGTTTCAGATGTGTTCAGTTTTTTTGTGAATCAGTTTCTTACAAGATATCTTCGTTATGAAACCATATCTCTTCAGCTTCCAAATAACATGTCTGTTATGTGACTAACTACTCTAATTGTGCCACTTATTTTAAAATTATATAAGAAGTTTATGAAGTTTCTTCATAATTGCTTATATAATAATGTTATGTGAACAGTTTCTGAAGTTTTATCATAATTGCTAATGTTATGTGAATAATTTCTGAAGTCTCATAATTGCTAATATTATGTGAGAAATGTATGAAGTTTTATCCTAATTACCAATCTTGTTTGACCATTTTCTCAAATTATACCTCTGCTGTTACTGTTATTTCACCAGTTTGACAAACCTTGATACATTTTCATTAGAAGCATGAAAATGAAATATCCTGCAATTGTTCCACGCAGGGCAGCAGAAATTTCTGACGAGGAGTACAATGACTTCTACAAGTCTATCTCTAAAGAAAGCTCAGAACCCATGGCAAAGATCCACTTCACAGCTGAAGGAGAAGTCACCTTTAAGTCTATTCTCTTTGTGCCTCAGACTGCCCCTTATGACACATTTACCAATTATGGCAAACGCATTGATCACATCAAGGTGAGTTTTAATACTGTCTTCATACCTGCATTATGATTACAGTAAAGGTAGTACTGAAGCTGTGCTATGTTATCACAATCAACGTCATGGCACATTGGGCATTCCCATGTATGCTTAGTCCTCCGATGCACCACCTAGTCCAGGGTGCCTTAACTAATTGTTCCCACAAGGAGTTTGTTGGTCTCGAAGGCGGCATAGACATGTTTCCTCATGCTTTACTCCCGTGTCACACAGTCGTGTTAGTGTTGAAGATTTGTCCACTAGCCCAGTCCATAAAACATTGAGGATATCTACTGTGCACATGCTTCTTCAGACATGTGTTGTTGGTGCAGTTCTTGCCAATTACCTTTCACACCGACATGACCAGATGGTTAGATCCAGGTGAGGGAGGTTAAGTGCGATTTTTGAATTCTTTCTTCCCATTCAGAGTGTATACTACCAGCTGTTGCGATTGGATTGCCATTGTGGGGTGAAGAGTTAGGCCTTCATGTTTGAGATGAGGCAGACAGTTCCCTTCCTTATCACATTTACTTCCTCATGTGGGTTCCTGGACCCCATTTTGGAGCAAATAAGAATAGACTAACTAGCTAGATGTTGTAGGTTCCTTGCAAGGAGTGCCAGGGGATCTGGCCGACACTCAAGGGAAAAGTGAGACAGATGTACAGCCCAACTTTTACTGGTGCCATTGGAATTGCTGCTAAATATGGGGACAGAGTGCTTATGTGAATGTGTGTGATGTGATGTTGATTTTTTTAATTCAACATTCAGCATTCAACTATTTTAATTTTAACCTTTACAGAGCTAGAATAATAGCCCCATTGAACAATATGGAGTAAAGTAGCAATTAAATAGGGCTGAGTAGTGTTAAACCTGGGTGGGTGTAAGGAGTTAAGAAAGCCATATTAGTGAAGAATTTAGTGATCAACTCATGGTGAGTTGTCTGGTAAGATGTAAAATGAGAGAGAAAAGAAGGGAGGAATATTTAACAATCCCAATTCTTAACACTTTAAAAAATAAAGTTCCTTTATGTGTTAACTTTCATGTAGTTACCACATGAAGAAACATCACCAAACAGAAAGCTACAGGACATAGTGCATGGTAAAAGAAATAGAGATGAAGTAAAGACAACACAAACATATACAGGGTGTCCCAAGATTTCCCATTTATAAGAAAAATGAATATATCACCATCACCTTATGAGCATAACTTCAGCTGTCTTTATACATGTTCTTCAGCATCAGAATATGTTTTCAAAACAATGGTATTTTTCCTGTGCAGCGAAACTCATGGGATACCCAAAATAAAACTGAACTGCACAAATATCTCAGAAATAAGAAAAATGATGATGACACTGATGATGGTGGTAATGATGATAATGAGGATGATGATGATGATCTATTAAATATTTAGAATTGTTGGCTCATTATTTTTCGCATTGGTTCTGTGGCTCCATTTTGGGAGAAAATAAGAATAGACTCACTGCTTCGCTAACAAATATGTCCTAGGTGGCTATCCGTTAGGGGTATTTCCTTTGAAGTCAGGGTTTATTTACCTGAGAGATAAGAAAATAACAGTCTATATCGAAATAAGCCAGATCTGTAAACTGTATGTGCACGCAATTTCAAGTTCTGGAACAAGACTAAAGTCCGTAAGTGGAGGAAGAACCAGAACTTTGCGCCTGAGTTGCTAGCCAGTGAGCGATGAGAAGAAGGAGATTGGCCTGTTACAGTAATTTACGGATGCATGACAGGGCAGATGTTGTCAAAGCCCTTTGGGAACAAGCAACGGAATCAGTAGAGAAACAAGATTATTATGGCCTGGAGTGAATGAGGCACCTGAGTGTAACCAGAGGGTTTGGCCGACTCGCTACACTCAGAGGTAAGGCGAGACAGATCTGTAACCAGATTGTGACCGGTACCATCAGTATTGGAACTCTGCGCTGGTTGCTGAAGATGAGGACGGAGCACACATGGGAATGCCTAGAGTGCTGTGATGTCAGTTCTTGACTTATCTAATTTAACTAAGTAATTTACTGAATAAACAAAGAACTACCCTTATCTGCTGGTTTTTATGTCCGTATTTACAGCTGTATGTGCGTAGGGTGTTCATCACCGATGATTTCGAAGACATGATGCCCAAATACCTCAGCTTTGTCCGCGGAGTGGTGGACTCTGATGACCTGCCACTGAATGTGTCCCGCGAGACACTCCAGCAGCACAAACTGCTCAAGGTGATCAAGAAGAAGCTGGTGCGCAAGGCTTTGGACATGATCAAAAAGATTGAGCCAGAAACCTATGAGAGGTTTTGGAAGGAGTACAGTACCAAGTAAGTAGTCTTCCCTGGTGGTTTAAATAGTGGCTGTAGTGATTTTCAGGGTATCTTCTTCTTCGTCTTCTTCTTCGTCTTCTTCTTCTTCTTCTTCTTCTTCTTCTTCTTCTTCTTCTTCTTCTTCTTCTTCTTCTTCTTCTTCTTCTTCTTCTTCTTCTTCTTCTTCTTCTTCTTTTTCTTCTTCTTCTTCTTCTTCTTCTTCTTCTTCTTCTTCTTCTTCTTCTTCTTCTTCTTCTTCTTCTTCTTCTTCTTCTTCTTCTTCTTCTTCTTCTTCTTCTTCTTCTTCTTCTGCTGCTGCTGCTGCTGCTTTTTCTTCTTCTTCTTCTGCTTCTGCTGCTTCTTCTTCTTCATGTTCACCAGCGTAATCTCTAGCAGACAGTTCTGGTTGCTCCTCCACTTCTGGACTGTAGTCTTGTTCCATTACTTAGTTTTTCCTGCACATCCATTTTTACAGATCTGGCTTTTTTGTATGCAGACTGTTGGTTTCTTGTATCTCAGGCAGATGCACTCTGAGGGATTGTGAGGGTTTGAAACTCATCTCTAGCTAGAACACTGAATCCAGTTGAGGATTTATGTCAGAAAAATCCTTAGAATGTTATACTGTCTCCTTGTCTCTGGATAGGGTAATCAGATGCCAGACTTTCGCAGGCAAGGATTAAAATGGTCCAAGATGAAAAATCCATGTTGCTGTGCTTGAGACAAGGCAAAAAGTACTCAGTCTTGCCCAACCCAAGTTGGAGGGCATGGATACTGATTGTCCCTGTTGTGTGCTAGTTAACTTCATGTTGAAACTTACCTCACCTGAGTTTACTATGCCTAGTTCCTTGGCTTTCTTGATGCGTCACACTAGTGAAAAAGTTTAATTGTACTTGTTTTGTGTTTTCCTTTCTATCCATCAGGTTTTTTAGTCAGAGTTTATGTTGTGTGAAGTTACTTTT